GAGTGGTAGACTTGACAAAAAAAGCATTTCTTGTTGCTCTTTTCTTATTATTCATATTGTTTTCCTATTCAGCCATGATTCCGATGGCACAATATCTGCACCAGAGATTGTGTATTATATATATATATATATATATATATATATATATATATATATATATATATATATATCCCAATCTCCGATGCACGTCAGGTTGGCCGGCTTAAGAGCGCTCGCCACGCACAAGAGAGTTCTACCCCCTCTATGCTATTCATGCATTTGTCAGATTTGGTAATTCCCCCCGCCTCGGCAATCAACCGCTGAGGCATTGATCGTATACCCCTCCTAATGGCCTCTACGTTATCCAAGTCTATCTGGCGACCCGTGTCTAATGCATGCACAGCCACGGTCAAGTCTCCTACTATTGTCTGGTATTCGTTTTTTGGTAGTCTTGAAATGCGCCTCCAGTGTTTTGAAATTTGTGTGTGTAATTCTCTCGCTGTTTGGCCTATGCACACATGTACAGTCCTTACATTTAATTTTATAAACACTGTTAGCCTTCCTATCCTTGGGAAGGGGATCCTTCAGGTGTACCAGCGCTGAACGTAGCGTTTGACCTCGCTGAAAGATCACCCATAAAATGTTTCTTGTTTAGTACCCTCTGAGGTGTCTTACCTATACGGAATTCCTGCCATCCTTATCTACTCGGTTGTCGTCTTGACTGTGGGCTTATCACTTTAGGCAATTGGCGTTTGACTAGCCGCCGTGGGTTACCACTTCCTAATAGTTTGCTCATCGTCACTTTTCGCGCAGCCATTTTGTCCTCCTCCATCGTGCACGGGGTGTGCCCTGTAGAACAGCACTGAGTAAAGTACGCCGTCAGCACCAGTTGGCTTGTGATATATGGTCCTCTTTAAATTTCCCTCATTCCTGTGAACCACGAAGTCAAGAAATGGTATTGTACCGCCATAAGATTCCAAGTCAACAGTAAACTATCCTCTCGTCAATGGAGTTTAAGTGATCAAGCAACTCGTTTATCTTATCCCATCGGACATTCAATGCCGCCAAATTCTACTCCATTTGGGAGACCAGGAAGTTGCCTATGCCTCCAGTGAAGCCTACTCAACCGATCTTCGCCACAATCCATTGTATTTACCAATTCGTCTGTAACTGCGGAAGTAGTTACATTGGCAGAACAGATCGATGCTTGGGTAAGCGCATTGGAGAGCATATCCCAAAACGGATTGCTAAACTATCGACACAACAAGCAGCTGAAAGAGAAGAGTTATCTAAGCTGCCGGTATAATCTATCGCCAGATATCTACTCGAAACAGACCATCAGGGTGATCCTGCGTCAACATCTACAGTTATCTATCGAAATGAAAACCCCAAAGTTTTGGGGTTTGCCGAAGCGGTGAAAGTTAACCGGCATCGCCCTATCCTTCGTGTACACAAAATAATTAACAGTCTCCCTAAAGCTTATTTGGGGCTCATGACCCGAAGATCAAACTCGTTGATCTGTTATACTTGCGTCTACGTAATTTTCCTTTGTGACCAGTTTCAAACCTATTTTTCTGTCACATGATTCATATTTAGGTTGTCAGTTTGCGAGTGAGCAGATAACACGAAATGGTTCCATCTAGAAATACCAGTCTCCTCATTCTCTTATTTAGAAATACAAAGGTATCGTCTACATAGCACCACCAAAGTTTTGGTCAGTTAATGTTGTTTGTTAACGCATTGTCCTCGAAGTCGTTCATATGCAAGTTCGTCAGTACAGAGGACGTTGGCGATCCCATGACGAGACCTTGTGTTTGACTGTACAGCTTCGACTGAAAAATGAAGGAAGATATGTTAAGACAAATTGCCATATCATCGACTATCTGGTTAACCGTAAGTTTCGTTCGATAACTCAGAGTGACGTCTTCATTTAGACAAGGTCTTGCTATTCCCAGCGCCTCTTCTTTGGGTACATCATCAACCTATATGGCTCGATTTCGAGACTTGCTATCTTTTGAGCGAACTCATAAGAGATTTTCACGAATGTACTCGTTCGCCCTGTTAGAGGCTGAAATAGTCTTGTCAAATATCTAGCGAGTTCATGGGTCGGTGAGCCTATACCGTCGACTATGGGTTGTACAGGAATCGGGTTTGTGAACTTTTGGCAGGCCATAAACCCTCGAAGGTGAAGTCGATTCTGGGTAGATGCTGTATTACTTGCCGGCCCCCAAAATCGTCTTCCACGGTTCTTAAATAGTTTGCAACCTCCGTCTTACTCTTGTTCATTACTGACGTCACGGTCTCATCAGCAAATACGCTATATGGACCCATGTCAAACTGTTATCCCAATTTCTACCAAATATTCCGCCCTATTCATTACAACCAGGGTTATCCTTTCGTCATCCGCTGTAAGTACAATGCTGCGATCTCCCTTCAAGAAAATTAATGCGATACGTTCAGTTTGCGGAAGCTATGGCTCACTCGGTTGCTGAAACTTTATGATATTTAATAACTGTGCTCGAATATTCTCTGCCTTCGCAACGAGCAACTTTGTCACCGCGCCCTCAACGCTTGGGATAATCTCTTTTGCATATTAGATTTATTGATAGTAAATGTCAAAGCTTTCTCCAACAAGCCACATTCCGTTTCATTCAAAACCTTAGCTGACATAGTAACTACATTACAATAGCTACCAATAGACCTGGACCTGTCAGTAGCACCGGTTGCATTAGGATGCACAGACATTAAACGCACGAACTTACGCATTTGTCTTTTCTTTGCATCCTGCCCTTGTTTCAATTTGACGCCTGAACCCTGATTGAAAATTCGCTCGTAGTCGAGAGGCGTTATGTCGGTCTGTAGATCCGCATCGACGCGAATCGGCTGAGCCTAAATTTTGGTAAGACTAATCTAGCCTCTAACAGGGTGGACGAGTACATTCGTGAAAATCTCTTATTTCGCTCAAAAAATAGCAAGTCTCGAAATCGAGCCATATGAGTTGATGGTAAGTTTCGATGTGACAGCACCTTTCACCAAGGTACCCAAAGAAGAGGCGCTAGGAATAGCAAGACGTTTATATGAAGACGTCACTCTGAGTGATCAAACGACGCACAGCACGGTTTCATGCCAGGTCGTTCATGCATCACCAACCTGCTCGTGAAGAGGCATGAATGGTTGCAAGCAGTGAGCCATAGGAAGCCTGTCGACGTGATGTACATCAATTTCAGCAAAGCGTTAGACAAGGTGAACCATGAGGTCCTCCTCCTCAAGCTGACAGTATGTGGTGTTGTTGGATCGCTGCACCAGTATATCCAGGAATCTCTCGTTGGACGAATGTGGAGGGTATAAGCCGATAGCCACCTGACCGACTGGCACCCTTCGATCAGTGGCATATCCCGAAGCATGATGCAAGGGCCCACGTTGTTCCTCATTAATATCAACGATCTATCTCAGCTTCTTCGGTCACCGTATGCCCTATTTGCAGGTGACCTAAAGATGTAGAGAGTGACAAGCCCATCCGACGACTGTGGCTTACCACAATGAGACCTGAATCGGCTTTCCATGTGATCTGCAGAAGTCCGAACCCCGGTTAACCTATCCAAATCGGTATTCACGAGCCAGGGGAAGGGTGGTGATAGCCGAACCTACACTCTCGAAGGATAAATGATACATCCCACACCTTCTGTGAAGGAGCCACTGACATCCTGAGACGCGATTGTACTTTGCGATTTCTCTCTGGGCACGCCGCGCCCAGTCCTCCCACGTAAGTGTGAAACATTTTTCTTTGAATAAAGTAAAAAAGGAATACATATTCTAATTAATTTCGACCATTCAATTAAAGAAAACATGTTTTTGAGCAATCTTTTTATTAAAACACAGCGATTACTTCTCGAAACTCTAGTACTCGGTGAACACCTTCCTCGTGAAAATCAGCGCACGTCTGTGTGGAATAACGGCACGTCGAATTTACCTCCAAATTCATTGCACAGCTCTGAAACCTCTTGTAATTGTCGTACCACCGCGAATAGTAGTAGTAGTAGTTAGTAGTAAGTAGTAGTCTATTTCCCGCGATTAATCAGATTAGCTCGCACTGGTGTATGCTAAAGGAAACTGGTTGGTTGATACCCTAGTTACAGAGAAAAGCTTGTAAACGAGTTTCTGACTTGGGGAAATAGCTGCAGTAAATTCCAGGGAAGATGTTTTTCTCACGTGTATCTGCATTAGGTTTACAGATTCCTTTCTTCAATTTCGAACATCCATCTTCTCAATGCATTGCACGTGTAGCTTCCGAAAGCAGCTGAATCAAACGGATCTGGCCGAAGACAGTAGGACTACTTCAGTTGCTGGTGACCCCGAAAACGGTTTGTAGCATATCTCCATCAAAGCCTTCCGAGTACACGCTACTTTCGGCCCTACGGAAGTTCCAATACACCCCCATCTATAACTATTAGGTCAGTCAGCTCCCACCCTGTGCCGATACACATCAGCATCCGTGCCTTCAAATCATCACCTAACTCTAGTTGGTGCAATTAATGAGTATAAGGGTGTCCGGCCGGTGACCGTGTGCACTGCAATGCTGAAGTCCCCGGTCCGAGTCCGTATAGGAGCAGGCGACGTCGCAATATACACAGCCCTCGCGAGACTGGTGTAGGTTGTGTAACAACGAAGCGTCGATACACTGTACCGGTGTATTACTAATGCCCTCCTTGGATCCGGTAGTTGGTGGTTCACAACAAACCATCTAGTGGCACCCCGAATCGCCTGCTGAAATTGCACCGCCTACGCACGCTAGAGCAAGTAAACTGAATGTATGCTCATTACGCATCTGAATGTGTGTGTTTGTCTACATTATAACTGGTTGCGTGAGATAGTATGATACCCAGTCGATGTATGACATCAAGACGGGACGATTTTGATTAAAACCGGGTGCACTTTGTCACTCTGGATAGCTCAGATAGACCATACCAATAGCGCGGATAAAAAGGCAGAAGTAATGGGGGAAATCTAACGAAAACACACACCTGCATGATTATATTCTGCAAGGTAGTCGAACCGCCAATAGAACCGGCAAATGAGCGTATCTTTGATCCATGAAAGTTCAAATCCTCACAGTCGAGATCGTGAAGCGCGATCTGGCCTTCAATAAAGCAGTTTAGGAAGGCCGATAGCTCTGTCAGATCGTTAAGTAGCGCATTACGACCTTCTATGGTGTCCAGGAGAGAGCGTGCATCATGTCCAGAAACAACGCTAGTGGACACAGACGTCTGGTGGCTTGCAGTTTGCAAATGAGGAGGATCTGAATCGAGGGGCGGGTCGACCAAAGTGGTTTGCGATTGACCATCATCGGATAGTTCAATCAAATCACATGGAATGTCGTCATCCCATTTGATCTGGAAGAAAGGAAGGGAAACGACCGAATGCGGATGCAGTGAAGGGTACATGGTCGAATCGGATACAGATATCACGAAGGTGAGACATCATGCACATTTTAGTTTATAAACCAAACAAATACAGTGAGAGTTGTGTTGCAAAACAAAGTGTTGAGAACGCAATGAGGGGCGGACAAGTTGTTGATTGGAGAACACATGTCTGGTTAACATAATAACTCGAACATAGGAACGCGAGTCCACTTGGCGCATGACTTTCGCGGCACCTTTCCGGAGCGATGCTCCGTTGTAATCTTCCATTCACCGAGCATCTGCCTAGATTGCCTCGTGCCTCTCGTGTAGGTCGTCCGGTTGACTTTCCACCACACCGTCTGCCGGCATCTCATGATTCACCTGTTTCCCTAGTGCGCCCTAGTTGATAGCCATACTACTCATAAGTATTGCACCACAAAAGGACTACGATTCATAGTGAGCTAAGAATTGTAGGTTAAGAAAGAGCAAGGCATAGATCACTGTTAACAAGTAACAGATTTGACTGCATAGGCAGATCGTTGTGCAAAAACAAGAATGTAATTATTGAGATATCCTCCTACCCCAAGATTGGTAAGGACGACAGGATAATCGTCGAGACGTGTACTTCTGTGAGATAGCTATAGCTAGCCATGACGAACCATAACATGGCTTGGTTCTCAGCTCCAATTGACTTTCACGGACTTGACTTAGTTTATCAACAAAAATTTTGCAGAGGACCTACCAAGTTCAGGAAACAAGTCATTGTTCCCAGAGCAACCGCTCCCTTCCATCCAAACTGCCAAGACAGGGTTAGACTGGCCAAAAAACCGTAAGTTTAAGACTTCCAGCCTAACCCGATACCCTTTCAAATCTCAAACCAATACAATTTAGGCGCCGAACTGGTAGTGGGAAAATATATTTGAACCCACGCAGTTGTCGGTTCGTCTGATCAAAACACTTTAAGAGCCACTACTGCTGGCATTACAAAAACATTGTATACTAGCAAAATGTTGGGGGCGACAGACAAAACACTGACAGTACATCACACAAGTAAACCAAGTTTTATTTTCTAATTAAATCGTTTTACCAATTTTGTCTGTGCCTTAAGGTGCGGTGCGCCCAATTACCCTTATGTCCGTCAAAAATGATAATAGTAGTAGGGGAAAAGTAACGGACAAGAAATTAAATCACCAGATGGGATGGTCAAGAGTCAGAAGTTAAGAAAAGTATGCAAGAGCGTCAATGACCACGTGACCGCGCAATATTCAGCAAATTAAACTGAAAATTCCCATTTAAGTCTCGAGAACGAAAGACCATCTGGTGAGCAATTGCTTTCAATGATTCATCATCAAACATTACAATCATATGGAGGCTAAAAATAACAATCAACCAAGTTAGTTCAAAACGAATGGATCATGTGAAGGTCTAGGTCAGAGTGGAGAAAATGAATTAGGTCTTATAGGGCTAGTTATTTGCTACCGCGTCTGACCTGGGCATATTCCGTCCTCGCTGGCCAGGGAAGCTGGAGAGCCTGGACTAGCTTCTTCTGTGAGCATAAGGACGGCTGGAACAATCGAATGCATATTGCTTCAGTTGTCGCAAGTGTACGAAGGTGGTAACCTTTCGTTCGGTGCGGCGGAACCTTGTACACTATTCGGAAAGCGCATTTCCAATCCACCTCATGGCCGGTGTCCACAATGTGGGCCAGAATGGTGCTACTAATGGTCCCGGGGCCTACTTGACGCAGCCAACGAGGGCAATGTTCGTTCGCGCGTTTGGATAATTGTCGCGCCGTTCGACCAATATACGTTTCGTTATAGGCGCACACGAATTGACAAATTACCATTGAGTTGGTCAGCGTCGGCACTTTGTCCTTGTTTTGTGAACGGATGAGTGGTTCCGTTGAAAACACGCGCTTCAACGAGGATGTTGGAAGGTCGACCTTACCGCGGCCGAAAGGCTTCTGGTTAGACACTCGGTAGCCACATCCCTTTGTATGTTAAACAAATAAATAGCTCTCTCTTTGCTGCTGTTAACACTGGTATTTGTTTGGATTTTTCTTGGAAGTTCCTCAAAATAAATCTATAGGGATAACCGTTTTCTCGTAGAGTATTCTGTATGAATATTAACTCCGCGTCTAGAGTGTCTTCCGTACAGATTCGACGTGCTCTTGTGGTAAGACAGTGAACCAAGTTGCGCTTGTACCTCATACGAACGACGCTGATCAACTCAATGGTAATTTGTCAATTCGTGTGCGTCTATAGCGAAATGTATACTGGTCGAACGGCGCGACAGTTATCCAAACGCGCGAACGAACATTGCCCTTGTTGGCTGCGTCAAGTAGGCCCCGGGACCATTAGTAGCACCATTCTGGCCCACATTGTGAACACCGGCCATGAGGTGGATTGGAAATGCGCTTTCCGAATAGTGTACAAGGTTCCGCCGCACCGAACGAAAGGTTACCACCTTCGTACACTTGCGACAAATGAAGCAATATGCATTCGATTGTTCCAGCCGTCCTTATGCTCACAGAAGAAGCTAGTCCAGGCTCTCCAACTTTCCTGGCCAGCGAGGACGGAATATGCCCAGGTCGACGGCTTTCGGTCAGACGCGGTAGCAAACAACTAGCCCACTAAGACCTAATTCGTTTTCTGCTCTCTGACATAGACTTTCACATGATCTATTCGTTTTGGACTAACTTGGTTGAATATTATTTTTAGCATCCATATGATTGTAATGTTTGATGACGAATCATTGAAAGCAATTGCTCACCAGATGGTCTTTCGTTCTCGATTCAGTAAAGTGTCCAACCACTGATGTTATCGGTCTCGTGGACACCACCCAGGTAGGCAATAAGAACCCACCCAAACCGGCATTTCGATGGTTTTCTTCATGCGCTTTATCCATGTCACTGAATTTCAGTGAATCACGGGCAATGCTTTGTGTTTGCATGTTTATTTAGTTCATTTGGTTTAACATCTATATCTGTCGAGTTATCGATACTGATCGTTCAAACAGCCCAGAAGTCAATCGCAGACCGAGTTGACGCTTTCCCCACAATCAGCGCTATGTAAACGTTTAGATCTCATGGCAGTTTACCGAAAAGAATTCTTTACCATGAAGTGATGTCACCGAATCGGGGTTTCACCCAACAGTGTACATAGAGGCAACCGGAGCATGTGATCGAGTCAACGAAGGTGACTCAAACTTAGTAGTTGCCCCATTGAAGCACCGGAAGGCCGGTAGACAAACCATACGATGAAAAATGTGCCCAGACGCATGACAAAATTCCGTAGATCAAAGGAGACGATTTCTGTGATTTGAGAAAATTTACCAAAGCCAGCCAACTGGCATTGATTTCACGCAAACACTTGTCTTTAAAGAACGCAATTGAAGGTGAAACCGAGTAAGGAGGGCACATTGAGCACGGATCTGAGATAAGGTGGAACAAAAGCTGAAAATTCGCAAACGAGATGCTTAAGGCAGATTATCAAGCGCTTAATCGGAGGACAACAGCAGAGGTGTAGTTAGAAATTAGAGAAAACAAACAAATCCGACGAAGACAAATCCCTGTGGTTCCGACGAGTATTGCAACGGGAGTGCTGATTCGATTCTGAAAGTGGGAGAGTGCAGCTGATGTCCACAGGCTTGCTATTCTCCAAACTAAGCCAGATAGGCTCGGGACAGGCGTAAGCCGGTCGAAGGTTATCTGTGGATGATAGTGTTCGCAGTTACATCAGATGAAGAGTGGAAACGTCTGTAAAAATGCTCATTAACCTCATAAGGTTGCATAAACTTGGCCTGTCGGGCTACGAAGTCACAACCTCGAGTTAGACCTCCGTTTCACTATAACGTGGACGATATTACTGATCAAAGGGTCTGGGTGAGACGCACAAGACAGGCCTCCGATGATGTGTTTTGTGGGTTAGAACATCAAATAAATGGCTAGATGCGGGAAACACCGAACAACAAAATATAAGCATCAGCCCACAAGATCCAGCCAACAGTATACTCTTAGTCTTCTGCTTACACAATTGCTTC